TTCTCCCTTTCTCACAATACAAGAACTCGTGGGCACTCCATGAAACTGCAGAGCGGTCGGGTTAGAACGGATAAAAGGAAGTACTTCTTCACCCAAAGAGTGATTAACACTTGGAATTCACTGCCACAGGAAGTGGTGGCGGCTACAAGCATGGACGGCTTCAAAAGGGAATTAGATAAGCATATGGAGCAGAGGTCCATCAGTGGCTATTAGCCACAAGGTATAGATAGGGGCTCTGGGGCAAGTGATGCTCTGTCTTCTTGGTGCTAGGGGGGTCAACAGTGGGAGGGCTTCTAATGTCCTGGCCCCACTGGTGGACCTCCTGATGGCACCTGGTATTTCTGGCCACTGTGTGACAGAGTGTTGGACTGGATGGGCCTTTGGCCTGATCCAACATTGGCGTCTCTTATGTTCTTATGCTTGAGACTGGCAGGCACCTCATGCCATGACTGATCCCAGTGATTGAATCCCCACACTCACAACATGGGTCAGGTAAGTTCAAGACCCAGCAGGTTGGTATGTGAACTGTTTCAAAACCACATTGGGGGAGGGGAGATCATGTGTTAGATAGGTGCAGAAATCTCAGGGCTTTCTTCATAAATGGTGTATCTTGGATTGGTTCTGTGCCAAATACCAGCTTTTTGGTTACTGTAAGAATACCATAGTCAAACTTTCAAGTTCCCCTTCCCTTGATGCTTAAGGAGAGATTAGTTGGTCTTGAAACTCCTTCTGAGCAACCATATCTAATGAATCTGGACAAATTAGCTTTTAAAAGGATTGTTCTTTAAACTTTTTGTTGTTGTTCAGTTGCACAGTCGAATCCGACTCTTTGCGACCCCATGGACCACATCATGCCAGGCCCTCCTGTCTTCTGTCAGTTAAGGTTCTATGCAAGCCTTAGATTAGCTTGACGTCTATTCTTGGAAAAGTTTTAGAATAAATCATCATACAGTCAGTCCTTGAGCATTTAGAAATGGCTGTGCTCACTAAGAGCCAGCATGGTTTTCTCAAGAACAGCTCATGTCAGGCTAACCCTATCTCTTTTTTTGAGAAAGTTGCTACCCTGCTGGATCAGGGGCATGATGTAGACATAGTTTATCTTGATTTCAGTAAGGCTATTGATAAGGCTCCACATAATATTCTTGTCGACAAGTTGATAAAATGTGATTTGGATTATTGCTCATGGATCTGTAACTGGTTGACAGATCGCACCCAAAGAGTACTTGTGAATGGTTCCTCAGCCTCTTGGAGAGGAGTGACAAGTGGAGTGCCTCAGGGATCTGTCCTGGTTATATTCAACGTCTTTGCAAATGATTTGGATGAAGGAATAGAGGGAATGCTTATTAAATTTGCAGATGATACTAAATTGGGAGGGGTAGCAAATATGTTAGAAGACAGGATACTGGGCTAAAACGAATAAAATGAATTTCAATGGGGATAAATGTAAAGTTCTGCATTTAGGACTCGACTGGCTTTCGAGCAAGGGAAACCTTTACCTTTTAAAGGTCAAGACCAGCACCCTGAATTGTTCCCAGAAACAAACTAGGAGCCAGTATAAATGGGTCAGGACTGGGATGATATATGGTCCCTGCAAAAAAACCAAAAACCCCAAAGACTGTCTTTTACCTTGTCGGCATTAGGAAACTTAAGGAGATCCTGAATAGCACTGGGGTTGGAGAGTATCAATATACTGATAACTCTCAGCTTTATATTTCATTCACTGAGCTCCAAGGAATGGTTGTCCCTGTCCTGGGTCAAGGGAGCTGTGAGTGGGAAGAGGCTGAAACGCAAACTGGATCCATACAAAATGGAGGTGATGCTAGTCAGGTGCAGTACGGACTAAGAAGGCGTTGAAAGAGATCTTGGGGTTGTAGTGGGAAGCTCAAAGAAAATGTCGAAGCAGTGCGTAGCCGCAGTGATCATGGCAAACATGATGCTAGGGATTCTTAGGAAAGGGGGTGAAAAATCAAACAGCCACTATTATTATGAATACCCTTGTATACAGCTACACTTGGAGCTGCAGTGGCTCAAGTGGTTAAGACGCTGAACTGCAGGCTGTGGAAGGTCGGTAGCTCAGCAGTTCGAGACCCGAGTGTGCTGCATGACGGAGTGAGTTCCCATCTCTAGTTCCAGCTCCTGCCAACCTAGCAGTTCAAAAGCAAGACATTGCAAGTAGATAAATAGGGACCACTTCGGTGGGAAGGTAACAGCGTTCTGTGCACCTTGGTGTTTAGTCAGGCCGGCCACATGACCACGGAAACGTCTTTGGACAGCGCTGGCTCTTTGGCTTGGAAACGGAGATGAGCACCGCAACCGTAGAGTCAGATTTGACCGGCTTTTGAGCAAGAGAACCTTTACGTTTACCAGATACATCCACAGAGAACAAAACAGCTCACAGGTTCATGAAACCTCCTACTACTGAGGAAAGTGGGAAGTACAGAACACCACTGCAGATTACCAGTCTTTTAGATTATCCTATGGTGGTATATCCTGCGGTGGCTCAAGTGGTTAAGACGCTGAACTGCAGGCTGTGGAAGGTCAGTAGTTCAGCAGTTCGAGACCCGAGTGTGCCGCATGACGGAGTGAGCTCCCGTCCGTAGTTCCAGCTCCTGCCAACCTAGCAGTTCGAAAGCAAGAAATTGCGAGTAAATAGGTACCACTTCGGTGGGAAGGTGACAGCGTTCTGTGCGCCTTGGTGTTTAGTCAGGCCGGCCACATGACCACGGAAACGTCTTCGGACAGCGCTGGCTCTTCGGCTTTGAAACGGAGATGAGCACCGCAACCCTAGAGTCAGAGTCGACTGGCTTTCGAGCAAGGGAACCTTTACCTTTACGTATAAAGCTATGGTGCAGCATCATTTCGAATACTGTGTGCCGTTCTGGTTGCCATATCTGAAAAAGCATACAGAGAAGCTGGGAAAAGTTCAAACGAATGCAACCCTGGTGATAAAGGGTTTGGAGCACCTTTTCTATGAGTAAGTCATCATGATTTATTTAGAAGAGTTATTTGCTTAGGCAGCTCACACAAAAAACCAAAACAATAAAATCATTAAAAATAATACCCATAAAATTATACTGGAGGTCACAAAAGTACAAGTCCCATTTGAACCAGAAGTTTTATTTTTGAACACGTGGCCACAAGAACTGGCTAATAGACCACACAAAAAACTATTGAAATTATGTTAGATGCAGCCAAAACAACCATTGCATCCTTTTGGAAAGATATCAGTACTCCAACGATTGATAGCTGGCACCGTAAAATATGGAACCACTATCTTATGGATGCAGTCACTAATAAATTGTCTTATACTTCTCAAAACTCAAACCAATCGATATTCGTAGGAAAATGGTATCCAATCTTAGACTACCTGTCTCAAAAGCACTTTGTATTCTCTCAGTGGTCCCAATTTCATAAATGGATTTGAAAAGCAACCCACAGTTTGATGGTATTTTTTCACTGTTTTGGTTCTTTATCTGGACTTTATTAACTCACTTTAATGCAATTTTCAAAATACATAACCGTTGACACTTGGATTCTTTATGGAAATGTATAGTAATTATGGGAAAAATCTATATTTAACATATTTAAATTGTTATGTCGGAAGGAATGTTTGGGTTACCCTTCAAGTTACAAGTTATAATGATATGTTTGAGTTGCATTTGTATCTTATTCTCTTAAACTTGCAATATTTGTTATGAGTTTATAAAGTTAATCTCAATAAAAAACTATAAATAAAAAAATAATAATACCCAATAACAATTATCAACATTGAAACCATGTAAAGATCAAGCCAACAGGAGCATAACAATTATTCAGTAGTCTAGAACAGATCACACAATACAGTCCCGCAAACTAGGAGGACCCCCTAAAAATGGAACTTGAAAATAACAGATCACTTCAGTTATAAATCCTGCTCTGGACTGATGCCTAAAAAGCAGTAATGTAGGTGCCAGCCTGGGGGAATGGCAAGGCATCACCACTGAAAAGTCCCTGTCTGTGGTGACCCAGGCATCACCACTGAAAAGTCCCTGTCTGTGGTTACCCAGGGCCTCTCCCTTTGTAGGGAGAGCAAAGCAGACAGCATGGCTGCGGAATATAACCTAGCTTTTCAGTTGCCAGAATAAGTACTGTTTCTGAGCACAAAAACATTTGCTTCCTTTTTTTCCTTCATTAAAGGAGAGAGTGGGTGGAGGTACACATCTGTTTTCCTGACTTTTGTTTTCCTTTGTACAAATGCAATCACTAATGCTGAAGTTCTTCTGGAGGGTGGGGGTTGAACAGGGTATTAACGATGTCTATTTGGCCCATTTTACAAAAGAGTGATCAAAATGTGGAAATTGCTGCCAGACGATGTAGCGATGGCCACAGGAATAAACAGCTTTAAAAGAGGATTAGATATCTATCAATATACTTCTGGTGACTGAGGGGAACCTCCACACTCAGAGGCAATAATACACTGAATCACAGAGCCAGGAGGCAACATCAAGGGAAGACCTGTGAGACAGGATGCTGGACGAGGTGGATCATTGCTCTGATCCAGCAGGGCTGTTCTTATATTAAAGACTAAAGGGTCTAGGTCTTTTCAGTCTAGAAAAAAGACAGCTAAGGGGAGATATGATTGAGGTTTATATAATTATGCACGGGGTAGAGAAAGTAGTTTTTTTTCCCCACCCTCCCATAATAACTAGAGGCACACAATGAAACTGAGTCTGATGTCTCTTAAATTTTCAGCTACAAAAAAAGCTCTCTGTGCTCTAGACATTTAGACATCTAGAGCTCCATGTGGATACTTTGATGGGAATTTAGGGCTGAGCTGTGTCTGAAGCTCTTTCCACATTCTGAGCATTTATATGGTTTCTCCCCTGTGTGTATTCTTTGATGGGAATCTAGAGTGGAGGTTCTATTGAAGCCTTTTCCACATTCAGAACATTTGTATGGTTTCTCCCCGGTGTGACTTCTTTGATGGGAAATAAGGTTTGTGCTCCGACTGAACCTCTTTCCACACTCTGGGCACTTGTAAGGTTTGTCCCCGGTGTGGATTTTCTGATGAGAAGCAAGGGTTGAATAGTGACTGAAGCTCTTCCCACACTCTGAACATTTATATGGTTTCTCTGCTGTGTGGATTCTTTGATGAGAAGTAAGGTTGGAGCTCTGACTGAAGCCAATTCCACATTCGTTGCATTTATATGGCTTCTCCCCTGTATGAATTCTTTGGTGAGAAGAAAGGTTTGAACCATGACTGAAGCTTATTCCACATTCAGAGCATTTATATGGCTTTTCTCCTGTATGGATTCTGTTGTGTGAAGCAAGGTTTTGGCTACGACTGAAGCTCTTTCCACATTTTAAACATACGTACGGTTTTTCAGCAGTGTGCCCTCTTTGACAGTCGCCAAGACTGTCTTTCTTCATGAATTCTCTTCCACACTGTGAGTAGGGATGTGTTTTCTCCTCCGTACACAACCCTTCAGGTAAAACATGATTTTGGGCCAGACTGAGGCTGTTTTTGTATTCTGACCCTTCTAGCAGTTTCCGTTCCAGATTCTGCATTCTCAGATGTGGACTAAGGGCTCGATTTTACCCATTAAGAGTTTTGTGCAACGAAGTGAGTTCCTCCTTTTGCCTCCTTCGTAACTTTAATCTTGGAATGGGAATTCATGGAAGTCGGAACCACTCAGAAGCGATGGATTTCCAGCTTTGATTTTACCCATTAAGAGTTCCGTGCAACGAAGTGAGTTCCTCCTTTTGCCTCCTTCGTAACTTTAATCTTGGAATGGGAATTCATGGAAGTCGGAACCACTCAGAAGCGATGGATTTCCTGCTTTGCTTTGGCTGAGGTTCAATGACCTTCCCATGCTCTTCTGCTCTGCAGGAACAAAGAAGGAAACCAGGTGAGGGAGAACTTGGAGCTACTAAAGGAATAAACCTGATTGCCTTCTATGGTGAATAACCCAGTGGGAAATTTATTTATTTATTTTTCGCATGTATACCCTGCCCTCCCCGATGGGCTCAGGGCAGCTTACAGGGGCAAGGTAAAACCTTGCCATAATAAAAACATAATATACATAGTAATTTAAAAGCATATAATACATCTTAAAATATCCTAAGTTAAAACATGGTGCTCAATAACTTCCATAAATCCAAAGATGGCAAATCGTAGGTCCGAAGTTCCGAGTGGTACCCACGGCTTAGGGCTTCTTCAATATTAAGATGTTGCCTCAGAGCCTCGGCCAAACCATGGCGGTGGTGGTATAGTAGGGGTGGCGGCTCCTACTCAAACGCCTGGTGGAAGAGCTCCGTCTTGCAGGCCCTGCGGAACTGCATAAGGTCCCGCAGGGCCCGGATCTCCCCTGGGAGCTCATTCCACCAGGTAGGAGCCGCCACCGAAAAAGCCATGGCCCTAGTTGCAGCTAGTTTGGTGTCCTTGGGGCCCGGGATAACTAACAAATTTAGACAAAGTGGGGAGGCAGATCCTGCCATAGACCTTTTTGCACTGGTTTTCATCAAGTGTAGGACTCAAGTGCAATATACAGCAAACAGAATCCTGTTGCATGGGAAATGTCTTGGATTTTATGCAGTGATGTGAGACAGAAACCTTTCCAATGCTATACTTTAGAGTGGAGAATTTTCTGCCCACATATATGACCGCAGGGTCCGGATCTCCCCTGGGAGCTCATTCCACCAGGTAGGAGCCGCCACCTAGACGTCCCTTCCAACTCTATGATTCCATCTATAGCCTGCTACAGCTATTGGGATGCAAATCAATTATGAGGTGCGGCCTTATTTGGAATACCGTGCACAGTTCTGGTCACCCTGTCTCAAAAAGGACACTGCAGAGCTGGAAAACCTACAGAGTAGGGCAACCAAGATGATTAAGGGCGGGGGTCATTTCGTAGAAAAAGAGGTGCAGGAGCTTATTAGCATAACTTGTTTGCATATGCCACACACCCCTGACATCACCGGAAGTGTGTCAGAAGGCAACACCCACCGCTCAGGCTCCACTGGACTATTTTGGATTGCTAGATTGGTTGTTGTGAGATTGCAGGTTTGGGGGGGGGGGAGTGCAGATCTGTCCTCGCAGAGGAGGGAGAGCTTGTACCTGCATAAAACTTAAAGTTGCCACTGGACTGTTTTGGACCGGGGCTCTACAACTTACCTGGCTGCTTCTTGCCCTGACTGAGGGCTGCTGGGAGCAGGGGGTGGGGCTTGTTGTATGTGCCCGCCCCCTGGGCTCTTTACTGCCGGAGCTCTGCTCCTGGGCGCTCCTGCAGGAAATGACCCCTGATTAAGGGGTTGGAACCCCTTCCCTAGGAGGAAAGGCTGAAGAGTCTGGGACTTTTCTGTTTCGAACAGAGACGACTAAAGGGGGACATGAGAAAGGTTTATAAAATTATGCACGGGGTGGAGAGAGTTGACAAGGAGAACTTTTTCTCCCTCTCCCAAAATACTAGGGCATCCAACGAAAGTCAGTTCAGGACCAACCTCTGCCTCTATTCCTTGTTGTTGGACCTCCACATGAACTGGTTGGCTGATGTGTGAGACAGGAATGCTGGACTAGACTACTTGTCTGATCCAGCAGGGCTCTCCTTATGTTCTTATGAAAGCCTCGGCCTCTATGCCCTGTTGTTGGAGTTCCAGAGGAACTGGTCGGTCACTGTGTGAGACGTAGAGATGTGAAGGCCCGGAAAAAAACCGGAAAAAAACTGGGTTTTTTTCCTGTTTTTTTCCTGGAGCCTTTTTTGTTTTTTTCCGAAAAATTGGAAAAATTGAAAAAAGAAGAGAAAAGAAAAAACATGATTATGGAACGTTTTATTTTAACATGATGAATAAAATATTTTAAGACCAAGTGTTCAAATATTTTCCAAATCATTTCTAAAATATATATATATGGTATCAGATTGATCTAATTTCTGTGCACTGAGGACAAGCCAGTCCTAGGTTACAAACTGAACTCTCCAATGCAAGATGCATTTCTTCCTTTAGGAGGTGCTATTGTCAGAAGAAAATAAAAAGGTTTCAGTTTTGTTTTTGCATGTGGGTGGGTATTCTGTTTGTAATAATTGTTTGGATACACTATATTTTTAATATGCTAGTTGTGATAATGTCATGCCAAGTAAAAATGTCCATAGTCATATTTTATGTTCCTAAAGTAACAGAATGACTTTCAATGTAGAAAAGACAAAAGAAATGCTAATGCATTTTTTTCAATTTTTCCGAAAATTTCCGTTTTTTCCCTGGAAAAAACCCGGGTTTTTTCCAAGCTTCAAAATTTCCGGAAATTTTACATCTCTAGTGAGACGGGACGGATGCTGGACTAGAGGGACCCCTGGTCTGATCCAGCAGGGCTCTTCTTATATTCTCCTCTGCACATGGTCCAGGCTTGTATATGATGTGTTTGCCTTCTTTTGCTAACGTAATTTAAATATTGTTAGCAAAAATGAAAATAATTTATTTAAACTTGAACTGGGAAAATTCCTGATTCAAATCATCACTATCTCACCAGGCAGGGAATCTGCAGAAGGGCTAAAGTATTGTTTCACATTTCAGTTTTCAACTTATTCTACGGTTCCCCTTAGACTTTTAGATACATTGCTTTATGGCTCCCGCTGGAAAATAAGGGCAGAGAGGCTGAGGCCTTCATGAGAACATTAGAAGAGCCCTGCTGGATCAGACCATCTCGTCCAGCATCCTCTCTCACACAGTGGCCAACCAGTTCCTCTGGACAACCAACAACAAGGCAGAGAGGCTGAGGCCTTCCCCAAGAAGAACATCAGAAGGGCCTTGCTGGATGAGACCAGTGGTCAATCTAGTCCAGCATCCTCTCTCACACAGTGGCCAACCAGTTCCTCTGGAGGGCCAACAACAGGGCAGAGAGACCGAGGCCTTCCCAAAGAAAAACATCAGAAGAGCCTTGCTGGATGAGACCAGTGATCAATCTCGTCCAGCATCCCGTTTCACACAGTGGCCAACCAGTTCCTCTGGAGGGCCAACAACAGAGCAGAGAGGCTGAGGCCTTCCCCTGTTAAGAACGTCAGAAGAGCCTTGCTGGATGAGACCAGTGATCAATCTCATCCAGCATCCCGTCTCACACAGTAGCCAACCAGTTCCCCTGGACAACCAACAACAGGGCAGAGAAGCTGAGGCCTTCCCTGAGAAGAACATCAGAAGAGCCCTGCTGGATGAGACCAGTGGTCCATCTAGTTCAGCATCCTGTCTCACACAGGGGCCAAACAGTTCCTCTGGAGAGCCAACAGCAGGGCAGAGAGGCAGAGACCTTCCCCTGATATCGCCTCCTGCCTCTGGGATCCAGAGGACTAGTGCCTCTGAATGTGGAGGTTCTGCTCAGTCACTAAGGCTACTAGCCGTTGACAGACGTATCCTCCGTGAATTTATCCAACCCCCTTTTCAAGCCGTCTGTTCCTGTGGCCATCAGTACATCCTCTGGCAGCGAAGTCCACGTTTTCATCACTCTGTGTGTAAAGAAGTATTACCTTTTGCCATTGGATGACTCCGAGTCCTAGCATTTGGGCAGAGGGAGAAACAGTTCTCTCTGTCCACTCTCTCCACCCCATGCATGTCCCCCCCCCCCAATGTCATCTGTTTATTCAAAATACTAGCAATCCACCCTGCTTGCCAGCTCCACAACCTGCCACAGACAACCCAAGCTTCCTTTACAAATATCCTGGGGCAGGGATGCTTCTGGCTCACAACATTGTGGTTCCCTTAAGTTCTTTTCTGTTTCATTCGGCAGAACTCCAACAGCCATTTTCGGCCCTCCTCCCTGGGTCCAGCCTCTATGCCCTGTTGTTAACTTAACAATATAAGAGAAGTCATGTCGGATCAGGCCAATGGCCCATCCAGTCCAACATTCTGTGTCACACAGTGGCCAAAACCCAGATGTCATTAGGAGGTCCACCAGTGGGGCCAGAACTTCAGAAGCCCTCCCAGCATGGCCCCCCATGCACCAAGGATACAGAGCATCACTGCCCCAGACATAGTGTTCCATAAGAACATAAGAGATGCCAATGTGGGATCAGGCCAAAGGCCCATCCAGTCCAACACTCTGTGTCACACAGTGGCCAGAAATACCAGTGCCATCAGGAGGTCCACCAGTGGGGCCAGGACATTAGAAGCCCTCCCCCTGTTGACCCCCCCCCCAAGCACCAAGAAGACAGAGCATCACTTGCCCCAGAGCCCCTATCTATACCTTGTGGCTAATAGCCACTGATGGACCTCTGCTCCATATGCTTATCTACTTCCCTTTTGAAGCCGTATTCCCTTTTGAAGCCGTAATCTATACCTCATGGCTGTACCTCTGCTCTGTATGCTTCTCCAATCCCCTCTTGAAGTTGTCTGTCCTTGTAGCTGCCACCACTTCCTGTGGCAGTGAATTCCATCTGTTACTCACTCTTTGGGTGAAGAAGGACTTCCTTTTATCTGTTCTAACCCGACCGCTCAGCAATTTCATGGACTGCCCACGAGTTCTTGTATTGTGAGAAAGGGAGAAAAGTACCTCTTTCTCTGCCTGCTCTATCCCATGCATAATCTTATAAACCTCCCTTTCTCTTTCTCTCTCCCTTTGTAA